GGAGGGCGGCGGGAGGCCCCGGCTGCGGAGGGATCGAGCCGGGCGGGCGGTGAGCCGGCGGCCCCTGCAGCACCAGCGCTTCCTTTGTTCTGGAGCTGCCTTTTGTTGGCGCCATGTGGTGGCTGGGGGAGGGGCGGGGAGCGGGTTTGTTGCCGTCTCACGCTGTAAAATGGAAGGGGATTTACCTCGGCTGGCTTCGCATCCCGCGTTTTCCTCATCCCTTTCCCCCCCTTTTTTTTTTTTAACGAAAGGAGCGGAGGGAAGGAGTTGTTTTTTGTCGGGGGAAGAGGGGGGAGGCTGGTTCAAACTTTCTGGGGATTGCGTGACCGATCGCCACCGGCGTCTGTGTAGATGCGAACATGTTTTGTGTCACGCCTATAAAAAAAAAATAAAAATCCTGGCTTTGGAAGCTAGTCGGGGTAAGCCAAGTATTTGTGGAGGGAGTAAAGAGAAAAACAGCGTGATGGAGACGATGTGCGGTGTGTTTAAACCAGTAAGAACGGTTTTGGTGTACTTCTTCGCAACGTTGTCAGAAAACGGCTTATCTCTTGCAAGTGATGTTGGAGGGCGTCAGCGTAGTTTCGCTGTGTTTTGGTAGTGGCATCCTTGTGTACAAAAGAGTAATTTCTGTCCTATCATAGTTGGTCTGTTTATATGCTTGACTTGAAAAATTACCTGCCTGTTTCTCAAGCAGGTCTTTGTGATTCAAGCTATTCCATGTATTTAATTGGAACTCCCTTTGTTATCCGTGGGCCCTGAACCAGAGGGTCAGATCCCTTAAGTTGAACAGAGAGCTGAAGCCACAGTAGCATAACGGATTTTGGCTGTAAGGAAAGGAGTGAGACTTGCACAAGTTTCCTATAAGCTAGGGCTGGATGTACCTTTTACAGACACTATAAGGATTGAGAACCAGGCCTCTTAGCTGTGCGTGAATTTTCTTTTAACTTCACGTTTTCTGCCCTGAAAAGTGGGTGATGCTCTTTCCCTTTCTTGCATAAGAAGTGACAAGTTTCAACCCCAAATCCGTGTAAAATGGAACTTATAAGAAAAGTAGGAGGGATTGACCTATGTGGAAAATCTAGTGCTGTGCTAAAACAAGAGCTGTCCAAGGCAGAGTTCAGGGTGCTGACATCAGAGTATTTTGTTAAGAGCTGAAACATGCTTTGATTCAGCTGCACTAATACACTGAGGAGGAAAAAAAGAGACTATGTTAAGAGTGAAATTGCCCAGTTTGTGGGGCGTCTGAAGGCGAAGTCGAAGTCAAATACTAGGAATTTGGTCCTAATTTCAAGGGCTCTATTTTCTGTTACTTAAATAGATGTAGGTATCAATCATTCCAATTACAAAACAAAGGACTGTAAATTACAAAGCTTAATATCTATGGATGTAGTAAGAGGTGAATTTAGCATGTGGCAGTATCTGTGTGCATACCACAGCTCCAACCCGATGGCATAAAGCAGCTAAAGCTGCCTCTGGACAAATTCCTGTCATCCCCCAACCATTGAATTTCTCTTGATCATTCCGCAAGTGTAGTCAATGATGACAGGGTATGCTATGGGAAAGCCACTGTCAGTCTGTACAGATTACAGCAGTTATGCTTGATCAGTAAGCTGTTGTGATGAGAAGGAATCCCTCAAGTTACCTTTCTTTCACTTGTTATCGAAAGGCTTAGTAGACTTTGTAACGTCTTTTCTGTAAGGCTCTATAGTAATGGCTGCAGGAAGCACACAGACTTTACTTAGACCCTATGTATCACGCTGCACTGTCAGTTAAGAGTGCACAGCTTGATCTTCTGAAAAAATAAGGGTTTAGCCTTCAAGGGGTATGGTTTCACCCAGTTTAAGGAAAAAAGGCAAAAAAAAAACATGTATAGTTTTTTCTCATATTGCCTTTTGAACATAAATGGATGTTAGTTCTAGCAAATCAAAGTTACACATAAACACCAAAAGCCAATTTTATTTAAACATAGTCTAGTTTCTAAAGTGCTGCTAGCTTCTAGTGCCAAATCTAGGTTGCCTCTAAACAGAGTAATGACAACTTAAACTGCTTTAGTCTATAGTTAGATAAAAAGGCTCGAATGCTTTTAAAAGCTTAGTTTGTTACCTTGGAAACTATGAAAATAGAAAATACAGCCGTGTTATTAATGTTTTCATTTGAAGTGAGGCATTTGAAAAGTGCCTTATTGACTTACCTAAGTTTTATTTGTTAGATTCACTTCTGTATTGTGCTTCACTAGTATTTAGTTCTTTGAGATGCTTCAGAGGATATTTTGTGTTGGAAGGTGGGCAGGGAAGGTATTGTATTGGCCATTCATGCAAGTAAAGACTAATAGTGGAGATACTCCTGTCGTACTGGTGAAGACAGAAGTAGATTCAGTAACTAAGCAGGAAGAAATGCACAACATAGTAGTTAAGGCAGGTCCAAAGTCCCACCTGTTGTATGTGACTGTTCTTGGAGGACACAGATACCTGGTTTAAATTTTGCAGATTGTTCTTAGGACTAAAATTTTTACAGCCATTTGTCCAAATCCTCAAAGAGCTCAAGTACTTTGCTTTTGATGCCTTGTTCTATCCTGAATGCTTTCAAAGCAGTAGGAATGATTCGAGGTTCTTTCAAAAAACTGAGTTGGTGGTACTTGATAATCAGTACTGCTTTGTTGCAAATAACTGAATACTGTTGAAAGAATGTAAGTTACTGGTGAGGAATATTTTAGGCAATTTTTGCTGTTTCTTATACCTGTATTAAAATTCAGGGTGCATTGTGTCATTCCCTCAGGGAGGGGTGGAACCCATTCTTGTGCACTCCTTTAGTGCCACTAACTTTTGACAAGATGCAAAAGTATTTAACTTGCAAGAGTTGGTCCTGTTTCTGACAATGCTGCTGGGGTGTGTACCACTGTGAGCATCTTGCTGCATGTGCTTTTCTGTAGTACTTCCTGAATCTAAATAGCTTATCTCTTTGAAATTTCAGGAAGATGTTTGTTGGTGGCCTCAGTTGGGATACAAGCAAAAAAGACTTGAAAGATTACTTCACCAAATTTGGTGAGGTAACCGACTGTACGATAAAGATGGACCCTAACACAGGAAGATCCAGAGGCTTTGGATTTATTCTCTTCAAAGAACCTGGGAGTGTTGAAAAGGTGAATTTAAGCTTCGTATTTCAGATTCTTAACTTCTAGGAGAAACTTTTCAGCTTGAGTTAATCACATCAAACTATCTTTCAGGTTCTGGAACAGAAAGAACACAGGCTAGATGGACGACTAATTGACCCCAAGAAGGCCATGGCAATGAAAAAGGATCCAGTGAAGAAAATATTTGTTGGTGGACTAAACCCAGAAGCCACAGAAGAGAAAATCAGGGAATACTTCGGAGAGTTTGGAGAGGTGTGTAATGGTTTCAGTGTTTACTAAGATAACTATAGTCTCAGTTGCTGTTTAGTTTACTAATAATTTGGATGTTGCAAATTAAATTAATTTCAGATGTATCAAGCCTTTTGTAACTAATCCAGAGGTTTCCCATCTTGAGAGCAAGGAAGGCACATACTGCACTAGATGCTTCCATTGCTAGTTATAGATACCCTTGTCTTTAACTCAAACCATTTTATCTGATGTTAAAATTGTTTTAAGACTTGTAAAATTGAAACCTCTGGTCTGAAAGCCAATGTTAGCATAGAAAGAATATTGCAACTTTGGTGTTGCATAATATGCATAGATAGGAAACCTACAGTTTTACTGTCCCAAATGCCATGCGTTTAACAGTTCTGCTAAAATACCAGTCTGAAAATAGTATTTCATGTCTTCAGATTGAAGCAATTGAACTTCCCATGGATCCAAAGACCAACAAAAGGAGGGGGTTTGTGTTCATCACTTTCAAGGAAGAGGATCCGGTGAAGAAGGTTTTGGAGAAGAAATTCCATAACGTCAGTGGAAGCAAGGTAGACACTTTGACTTGTAAATCTTTGTCCAAGTTATTAAGCATAATACCACTACATCTGTAATCTGAAAAGGATTTTGTAGACCTGCTCTCAAGATAGCAAAATTACAATAAGGACAGCTTGCAGTTTACCACAGGGGTGTTTTGCTGTAAGTTCAGTCACAGAGGCTACAAAGTTTCCTTGCCAGTACTTGTGGCTTTAATACTTGCTCTGTTCTAGGGGCTTTGTATGTAAAGTATCTAATTGCATTCATTAAATACAGGTGGAAAAACTGGCTTATTTATCAGTCTAGTAATATAAGCCATTTCAACAGATATGTACCTATTTTCAGCATAGAGCATTTGCCTAAATTTGAGACTTACAGACACTAACTGTAAGCTGAAACTGACTGTCTGACATGGGTGCAGCTTCTGGTGCCTCCTGCTACCAAAACATTGTCATGTAAACCCAATACAAGAATCCAGAGTGTAAATGTATGCTTATGGTAACTTGTAATTGGTCAGCTTGTTATGTGAACTACTGTAAAAGTGGTGAGATGCTCTGAACAGCTGACTGGTCATCTGTGGGAATAGCTGATAGAGTGTCAAGCTAAGGAGAAGAGGACTGGAGGCAAATGATGTGTGCTGGCTGGAGGTATCGCTTTTCCCTCAGTGCTTGACCACACACTAACTTCAAAGGCCTATCAGATCTGGTCATACTGTCTGACACAGTGACTTAGATTGCACTCAGTTTAAGACTGGTCTTGACGCAGCACAGAATAAACTTTGGCAAACCTAATTGCACTGGTTGTTGACAAGACACTCTAGTTAGCAATAAAGTTTGTTTTCAGGAGAGGTGAATGCTTATGTGCCAAGGGAGCTGAGAAATCATACTTGTGTCTTGTAACTATGGCTTGTTTTTGTGTCATAGTGATAATAAAAAGAGCAGGTTACCTTAAAGGTCTTGTAGTGAAGAATTCCAAGCCAGGCTTGCTGAGGTGCTGCTGTCATAGGGAGTTGTTCCTTTCACAGCAGCAGCAGCAGCTTTCATCTTGGACTGTGCACAGATTCAGGAACTAGGAAGCTGGCTGACAGCTTGAACTGCAGCTTGGGAACCTGTCTTGGAAATGTCAATTCTGGTTGTTTGTAGCTGTTCTTAGTATTTGATAAGTGATGATTTCAAGTGTTGGTAGGTGTACTGTACAGTCCAACACAATATTTGGTGTATAGGGTATATGAGGGTTGCCAGGAGAACTTTTTCTGGTACATTTCTCAGACCCTTGTTCATCCAGGGCTGCTCAGGTGAAGCTGTCCAATAGCAACAGCCTCATCTTGGAGGTTGTGCCAGGACAGAGGGCAGGCAGCCTTGCAGCTCCTACAGGAGCAGCAGCTATGCTGGGGTGGCCTCAGCACCTCTTCCACGGGGGACTTCATAGTGGAGAATAGGCAGTAATAAAATACTCTGCAAGCAGTGGCCTGCTTTGTATGGGCAATAATGATTTAACCTTTGTTTTCCATCTGGGAGTTGATGGTAGGGAATAGGTGGTATAAAATACTCTGAAAGCAGTGGCCTGCTTTAAATGGCCAATAATGACTTACCTTTGTCTTCCATCTGGGAGTTGATGGTAGGGAATAGGTGGTGTAAAATACTCTGAAAGCAGTGGCCTGCTTGAAATGGCTGTCAGTGACTTACCTTTGCCCAGGTGGTGGCACAATATATCAGATGCTTCTGGATATGCATTAGTTCTGCTCACATGATAGGGAGCACAGCATGTATACTTCCTTTGCCTCCAGAGTAACCTCTGGCTTTCCTAGGTGGTTAGGTTGGGTGCTGCTGCTGCTGTAAGACAGTATACATACTCTTCCTTGTTTTTTATTTCAGTGCGAGATTAAGGTAGCACAGCCAAAAGAAGTATACCAGCAGCAACAGTTCAGTAGTGGTGGAGGAAGAGGTAGCTATGGAGGAAGAGGCAGAGGTGGAAGAGGCGGCGGTAAGTACTACACGCACTACTTTAGTATGGACACATTCTAAATAAGCTGTGTGTACTAAAATGGGATTTTGTGGATGGTTTTCCCTTCTATAGCTCAAAGTCAAAATTGGAATCAAGGTTATGGCAATTACTGGAACCAGGGTTATGGGAATCAAGGATACGGCTATCAGCAAGGTTATGGTGGCTATGGAGGCTATGATTATTCAGGATATGGGTATTATGGATATGGACCAGGCTATGATTACAGTAAGTAAAGAGAACTGTATTGGGTATAAGCAAGCGTAACTAATTAGCAGTTTAATGCATTTGTTCTCTTGTTCATAGGTCAAGGCAGTGCAAATTATGGGAAGACACCAAGACGTGGTGGTCATCAGAATAACTACAAGCCATATTGATCAAACTTATTCAGGTATGCAGTGGCATGGTCTCTTTTGGAAAATGACTGCATAGGTTTTGTATACAATGCTGTAGATGGATATTTCAGTTCTGTACCAAATTTAACTTTACAATAAATTTCTATGGCCTGTTAAATGTGCATCTTACTTGGAAGAGCTCCCTGGAAATGTTTTACATGTTTAATACTTACAGATAACTAGTTGTCTAGACAGTGTGGTGTGTAAATTTCAGCCTTGCTGAAGATATTAATTAATGATTTTATTAATAGGTTAAACTGAAACTGATTTTGAGGGTCTGCTTAAAGCTGCAGCTCTGCATCTAGGGACTGCCTCTTGGAGTTAACTATGGACTCTGCATTACTCCAGTTGTACAGAATGAGATGCATCTTAGGGAACCAGTGTCACTTTCCACCTTTTTATTTTGTATTGTTTTTGTGTCATACATTTCCTGTAATGGAAGTGTTAATTTTACTGTACTTTTTGGTACCTTTTTGGAATCTAATGTATTGTAAGGTATTTTACATGTGTTCTGATTCACCATGACATGGATATTGAAGCTATCCTAGCTTTTGAAATAAAAAAGGCGTAATCTAGTGTCTTGTGCCATTCTTCAGCTATTGTATTAGTAAAATGCCAGTATACTGTTCCCAGAACTTAGTTCATGGCAGTACCTTGATAGATGAAGAGTTGTGCTTAAATGTTTTTAATCTTGAAACTAGAAGGCTGTATTGGTAGTTGTGCTCGCTTGCAGTTAAGTGGCAGCTAAAAACTGCAGTCACTTCTGCCTGGAGGTTATGGAAGAGGACTCAGGTGGAAAGCCCCAGCTGTTGTGGAGGCTGTGCTGGTGGCTCATGTCCTGGACAAGGACAGAGGCTCAGCATAACTGTGGTTGTGTCTCCATTGTAGGGCTCTGCTAGGAGGAGCCAGAGGCATAGGTTTCAGGTAGGGCTTGGGAGTCTAGACAGCATTGCTGGAGGAAGCTAAGAGGCGTGCAAGAAGCTAGCTGCACTTCCTTCATGTTTCACTCTCTTGAACCTGAGACTTTTCTACAAGTTCTTAATAGTATGTATACCTGCCTTGAAAGACGGGTTAGACAGACATAAAATTACCAATGCAAAGTCTGAATTTTTGCAGCCTTTTTGTGTATCAAAACAGGCTAAAAGAACTTCCACTAAAGTTGTGGGTGGAAAAACAACAAAACATGATCTCTTTCTTTAGAGATAAGTGACCAGCTAGAAATATGCTCTCCTTTTTTGACTAGTTTACCACTATTTTAAGGCAATAACTATCATGTGATTTGCCTGGCTTGCTGCAGAATCAGATCTCAGATTTATAAATAAGTAGCAAGCGCTGCTGCACAAAGTAAACTTCTAATCTTTGTTGCAGTAATTGGTTGGATTTTTACTTTCCTTTTAAAGCTAAAATCTGACAATTTTTTTCTTGTAGTAAATTCTATTTGAACACATGGGAACCAGAAATGGAATTGAACCAAGTAACTCAGACAAGACATAAACAGATGTTACTAGTGACTCTTTCAGGTTTTTTTCTAACAAGGGATGCAGCTATTCCTCCAGGGACTATAATATGCTGCTCCCTGCTGGCTGTCCTTGAAAAGAAAAACTTGCTGTAAAGTTAGAAGTCTGTATGACTTTTCTGGGGTTAAGTGGAAATCTTGAGTATAAAAAAGATGAATCAGACTTTAAATCTGATAGTTGACATGACAACTTTACAGCTGGAGTCTGTAACCTAATGCCCAACTTGCAAATAAAAAAAAATTGAAGACCACTGAAACAAATGAGTACAGTATTTAAAAGTATTACTGTCTCAAGATTTAAAATTGAAAAGCTTTATTGCATATTTTTTTTACTTGTTTTCTTATGAAATAAGGGGTAGCAGAATGTTTTTCTAGCAAACAGTTTTGCCCACCAACAGGGAGTTTGGATAGTATCAGGACCATACTGCTGCAGTACTTCTGGCTAGTGTCTTAGCAATAGTTTGTCAGCTGGCTGTTATTTTGCTGTTTTTTTGGAAGTAGGTTCTCAGGTAATGCTTCCTTGACAGGTGATGTGGCCTTAAGCAGAAATAGAGGATAGTGGTACTTAAATGCAGAGCTGGCTTTCCCTTTCTTCTTTGCATGAAAAGTTTGTGATACAAAGAACATGTAATTGCCTGGTGAAAGCAAGGGCTTGTACACAAGGTTGTTGCTTATGGCTGTAACGTACTCTTAATTTACTAATCCTACTTGGATATTTCTTGAGGACAGAATATTTTGTAAGAACCTGTTTGGGAGTCATGGCCCTCAGCTGTCTGTTCCTCATGCATTTGATGATATGAATTTGGGACTGAAGTTTTTGACTTAATCTGGTCACTGAGACCATTTGTTAAATATAGTGCTACTAGGGACCTTGTTATGAAACTGGCTACTGAAACTGGTCAGAGGAGCCTGGGAAGGACTGGGTGTACTGGCAGCTAGAATGGCATTTGCATCTGTAGTGGCAGATTTAAAAAAAAAATAACAGAACCCATTGGCTCATCTTGATCTGCAAAATTTATAACCTGAAAGAGCATGAGTTTAGAAAATGTAGTTTATAGTAGCTACTAGAAATATATTCCTTTATAATAAGTTTTATATATGCTGTTTTAAATGAAAGCCAATTCCACACTTCTGCCAGAGTTGAAACAAGCTCTTGTAAAATTTATTTCTCCTAAAGCTTTTACTAATAACAAGATAACTGAAAATAACAAAATCAAAAGTAACTTATCTGGTCTAAGACATGCTAGGATGATGATTAAATGTGCATTATTACAGTAGAATAATGTTTCTTAGTAGTAGATCTTGAACATTGTTTGAAACCTATGGAAAGAAAAAAATGTTATGGTTTTTTTGTAAAAGCATCATTAAAAGGAATTTTCGCTTACATTATATGTAAGTGTCATACTAGTACTGTACTTAGTAAGAGGCTTTTTGCATTCTTGGTTTCCTGTAGAAAATAAAGGTATTTTTCTTGCTTAGTTTAGATTGCAGACAAGCACATTAAGTCATTAGGCCTCTAAGTTAAACTGGCACTGTTGAGTAACCTTTCTGTTCTCAAGAAGTAAGTAGTACAAACAGCTGTATGTCTTTCCATTAACTTGCTAAATAAAATATTAACACATTTTTCTCGTGCCTGCTATACTAATATTGCACTGAACTAAAAGCATGTTTCTCAGGGCCTTAGCACTGAATCTAGTGTGGTGGTTGAGGCCACCAGTGATTACATTAGGTACATTCCTGTATAGGTACCTAGAGTTTAACTGGGCACTTGGTTAAAAAACACTTGGTTGTCTTTTAGTCAGAGTAGGCTGAAGAAGCACTAAGTGTACCAAAGGGCGTTGTAAGTGAGGTGTTAACTGTAAGTGTACACTGTGCTTGTGAGCATGTGGCAGTGCATTGCAGCTCTCTGTAAGCAAGCTATAGAGGGGACCTCAACAGATAACTAAGATTGAAAAGGCTTGGAAGACTTAACAGGACTCAGTCTTACTGATGCCCACAAACTTCTGAGTATAGGGGTAAACTGATGCTCAAGTGTGCGATAACAGCCATGAACCTGAAATGATCCTACAAAGTAGTCAAAAATGCTCAAGAGAACAGAAGGCAATACTACTTCAAAGTCAGTTGTTAAGTAAAAGTAGTGTTTACAGCTCTTCATAAAGCTCTTAGCATAAGTGGAGGTTCCCAAATTGTGGCATGCAGAATGTATGGTGCTCCTGCCTTTACGGGCAGTTAAGGGGAGACTTGCTGAGAAGTGGTTAGGCAGCTGGAACAGCTTCTGTCTAGAGACTTATGGCACTGAGCAGCTAGCATAAAAGCTATGTTTTTTTATCTTGATGTGCATGTCATTTGCATACCCAGAGTTCCACCTAGTCACTCTTAAAGCTTCCCAGACAAGCATAGCATGCTCTAGTTACTGGTAGGCATTTCTGGGACATGTTAGACCTAGCTTACAAACAAATGAATACATATAGTGTTAATAGAAGTGTCAGACTCTGATAGAAGGTAGCTGTGAATGGCAGATGTACACAAGTCTGGTCTGTCATGCTTCTAGATTGCCAGAAATTCCTGCAAACTAACTTCAAGTAAAAGCATCTCTGAGGAAGCTTGGTCCTCAGACCATTCACAAGATGCTTGTGAAGTTATGTTTAGGGACCATGGCTTTTAAATAGAAAAGGGTAAATATAGATAAATACCTGCTCAGGTAGAACAAGTGGATGTTTTCTATTGGTTCAGACGTTCCTTTTCCATGTCTGGAGAGAGAATAAGCAACAATGCAGCAAACTCATGACTTAGTGCAAAAACTTGTCTCAAACTTGGTTAACACTGAGCGTGCAGGAATTGTATAAAAAGCTAAGTGGCAAATGCACACAGATTACGGCTTTCAAGAATGAAATTTGGACAGCTTGTACCAGTTGCCCTTGTTCAGATAGGTAAACACTTTAACCTCTGCCACAGCAAAGCTATTTTGAAAGGCATATGCATCTGTGGAGTAAATAGTTCTCTAACAGAACTTTAAAACAATAAGTTAGAAGTGAAGGCTAAGCTTGCGTTTCCTATGTGCTGAGCATCTGCCACCTTGGGTCTGTTTTAGCACTTCTGAAAAGCAGGCTCAGAATTGACAGCAACCCTCTGCAAGGCAGTTTTGACCTGTATTACCTGTTAGTAGCTTGTCAATTGTGTCCACAACAAATTTTGCATCCTCCATGTTGAAGCACATTGGGGGCTTGAATTTAAGCACATTTCTTCCTGGCCCATCTGTACTCAGTAGAATATATTCTTCCTTAAGTCTGGAAAGAGCAATAACAAAGAATTATGTTTACCTTTGCATGTAGTTCAGAAAAACTTAAAAGCATCAGCATGCAGGCTGTCCAGACAATGCCTTTGTACACAGACTGGTTTCTTTTTCTGCCAGTTGGCTATATGTTAACAACTATTGAGTGGCAAGGTTACTTTGTAATTGTGTGCTTGCTTGTACCTTGTTATTAGATGCTCTGCTTCTTCTGTGGCTGGGGTCCTTTGTGCTTGATCCTTGATTAAGTCTACTCCAATGAATAAGCCAGAACCCCTTTAAAAGAAATAAAAATAGTCAATCTGTGTCAGAGGAAGGAACTGCAAGTGAACTAAAACCATTGAGAAAGGTATTTGTGAGACCAAACCTTTACTGCATGAGAATTACTTGATGTTTGGCTAGTGATAGAAAAGGTATTGCTGTTCTGAAGAAACGTAGTAATACAGTATAAACTATGGCAGTGCAGGACATGACTTTAAGCATATTTTCCATCCAGCTGATTAATGCTGTTCTTTGTGCACTTGAAGTAAGAGTTCAAACAGGAAAGTAGATTCCTTTAGTAACTAATAAATCAATAAAGCAGTACTGGCCTAGAGTGGCAAATAAGCTCAAGTTTGTTTTGATCTAATGTACGGCAGGCTGTTGATTTTTTGCTGAAAACACAGATTTAATGAATTTCTTAAAACCACATTGGTTGGACTGAGTTGTTTGACTGACTGAACCAAACAAAAGGCAGCTAAAAATGTAAATAAGGCACTAATACCTGACATCACCAATGATGGGATGCTTGATTTTCTGCTCCTTCAGGAGCTTCATCAAGAAGTTGCCTACTTCTGTGGCATGAGCCTGAAGTTGTTCTTTCTCAATCACATCCAACACAGCTAATCCAATTGCACATGAGACAGGGTTTCCTCCAAACTGAGTTCAGGAAAGGAACACACATAGCCATGGAAAGGGAAGAAAGATGCAGTCATGTCACTGAAAGTATAGCCTCAGTGATAAAATGAGCATACTGCCATTTTTATCAGATGGAGCCAGTAAACAAAGTTATGTACTAGAAAGATACAAATACTATAAACAGTAACAATGGGAATGATAAAGATTAATAAAAATGCTGCATGATTATCTAATTTTAATACTTAAGACTCCTGTAGAGAAGGAGAGTTTGGGAAACTTATTTACTTACTGTATTAAAATACTCTACACCTGTGGATGCAAATGCTTCTGCAATTTCTTTTGTTGTTGCTACACAGGCAATAGGGTGCCCGTTTCCTATTGGTTTCCCCATAGTGACAATATCAGGTATAAAATCTTCTCCCTGAAGCTGGAATGCCCAAAAGTGCTTGCCAACCCTGCCAAAGCCAACTTGAATTTCGTCAGCAATAAATACACCTCCTGCCTTGCGCACGTGCCTGTAACATAACAGATTTTATTGTCTCTTAAAAGGAAATGGAACATAATATTTACATAATGTTTAAGAGCATGCAGAAAGCATTACTTTGCAAATTTCTAGGAAACAAACTTGTACAGGCCTATATTTATTCTGTATCATATGTTTAAAAGCAGGTCTTTGCCATACTAAGTAAGTTTACATTCTAACATGAAGGCACAGGCCATGTCCTGCCTATCAAGCTGTATGCTACAGCAGGCAGAGAAATTCTCTATCATCTGTATTTAGCAAGTACATTAAATTAAAAAAGTTAAGATAACGAGTGACCACTTACTCTGCAACCTTCTGAAAATAGCCTGCTGGTGGAATGATTTGACCACCCACGCTTGGCAGAGATTCAACAAAAAAGGCAGCAATCTGAAACATATGTAGCATGTAGTATCTGAACACAATACAGAAAGTTGTGGAAATTGTGTTAACAATTAGCAAGTTCTTTGTCATTAGATGGTTCTTGCATCGTTCTGTGATCTTTTCTTTTTGACAAGTCCATACCACTTAGCTCAGTAATCCTGAATGGCATTGACAGTCAGCTATGCTCATTTCTAAGACAAGACAAAGGAAATAATAACTTTTTACCTTTCTGCCTCTCTTATATGCTTGCTCAATAATATTTTTCACTTCATTAGCATAGGCTGTTACTGAATCTTCATGGTCTTCCCTATAAAGTCCTCTGTATGTGTCTGGAACAGGAGCCTATGCAAAGGAACAGTTTCTTATATTCAGTATATCATAAATAAGACCTTGTGAAATTGACAAGTAGTTGATAGTTATAGGCTGAAGTACATACCACGTGGACCCATTCCTTTTGTCCTTCTAGATTTCTGAATTTATATGGGCTTATGTCAATCAAGGATGTCAGATGTCCATGGTAAGCACTTAAAAAACAATTAGCAGAACTAAACAGTAATTTCCTCAGTATCAAGAGTTCTTTAGGATTAGCATTACTGATAGCTAAAGAGTAGCTAGTCTCTCTCACCTGGTGGGAATACAGTCACTTAAGCTGAGAACAGCTCTGCAGTTTCTATAAATAAGCTTAGTACTATTTGGATTTTTTTGCATATCTGAATATAAGGGATGCAGAGGGACAGTACTCAGTCACTGGTTTGCCTGAACCAGTGACTAGAATCACAGCAGTGTAAGTCACGAGCAGTATTACAAGATTGCAGAACAACTGGAAGAGACATGTCTGGCCTACTTCTTAATATCCTCCAACAATGGAGTTTCCAGTCTCTCTGGGCATCCTCTTCTAATATTGACCACCTTCATGGTAGAAGAGTTTTTCCCTATGTCTCATCAAAATTCCTCAGGTTTCAGCTTATGCCTGTCGCCTTTCTTCCTGTCACGATACATCTTCAGGCCTGGTTCCATCTTTTCTGCTCCTTCCCATTGGACAGTTGTAGTTACAGTAAGATCTCCCTCTAGCAGTCTCTTACAGCTGAACAAATCCAATTTTCTTAACCTATCAAGCCTGTGGCTCCCTACCCATCGTGGCAGGCCACTGATGGCCTCCTTCCAGTAAGTATGTCAAAGTCTGTCATGTACTGGAGAGCCAACCTGGACATAGTTCTGGGCTGGTCTCAAAACACTGAACAGAGGGAAAAATTACTTCCCTCAACTTCCTGGTTACAGTCGTTCTACTACAACAGGTTTTCAGAAATGCTCTGACCACAGACCAAAACTGAGCTTTGTACCCCGAAGTAGATAAAATTGCCAATGTACTTACTGGTCTAAAACTATAACATCCTCATGTTTTGTATACTGTCGTGCCAATCTTAGGGCAAGATCGTTCGCTTCAGATCTACAATTGAAAAATTTGATAAGCGTTTCATTGTGGTTGTCTTGAGTTTTGAAATTCTTAACCTCCCTTGCAATGCTGTTTGTGTCTGCGAGAAACAGACATAACTCAATGCATGTTATTCACAGATCCCTTAGTAGTCAACACTTGTTAGGGTAGGACTGTTCACCAGAACAGAATCCATCTTAAAAAGCTGGAGTACAGAAACTACTTTGGAAACAGTTATTTTTATTTTTTTTTTTTTTTTAAGCTGTAGTTTGCTTGGGAATATGCCTCCCCCCCAGATACACATTGTTACATTTAAAATCTTGATAATAGAAGTAATTCCCAGTTCAGAAGTCAGACCAGAAACTTGATACAGTAAATATTTACGTTAATGTTTTGTAGTCCAGGGCCTTATAAATAGAATAAAACCCTTAAATAAAGCACTACTTTAGTTTCCTGATTGAGAGCTTGCTAAATGTGAACTTCAGAGTCACTGAAGTTCTAAAAAGGACCACAGTTTCTTCAAAACCGCCAAACCATGTTTTTTGTCAGTATCTAGTGATCCACGCCAGATCATGCAATTGGCTGCTGATAAGAAAGTACTCTACTTGTCTGTACATACCTAGTGAAAGCACAGTATCAATTCTAATATACCCAACTTACCCAGAATTCAAAAAATAAAAGATGCATAACTTCTCAGGTAGTGTTTTTGAAAGTCTCTCTGCATAATCGACCAAATTGTCGTGAAGGTAACGAGAATTTGTATTTAACAATTGATTTTGTTCATGGGCTGCTTTTACTATATCAGGGTGACAATGTCCAACTGCAAGAGAGTGTGGAGAGTGGTTTGACAGTTCTTCCATATAACCCATGGTGTTCATTCACATAATTAATAACTTTTATATTTCTCTTATAGTACAGAGATATTATCACTAATGATTGTATTTAATGAGTGGGGCATTAATAATATTGTCGGTGGAAGACAATGTATGTCAGTAAACCCTGTAAGCTTTCTCTAAAAACTTCCCCCAGCCCCAAAAGTTTGAAGTTGCCTGCTACTGTACTTTAAGGTTTGTAGTTAATACTGGAAAGTGATACTTTAAAACCAATAGTATCTAATTTGATATTTGGATTTAGACATTTATATAATTTAGGGGTTTGGGAACATGCAGGTAAGCTTTTCCATCAAAGAGTTACTAGCCCTGCTGGGGTGTGATTGACAGCACTGACCAGTTAGAGAGATTTCAAATACTGTAAGAAAGCAGCAGCTACTTCATAATAGACAATTAAGGCACCACACTCAACGGTGGGCCTGTGACTGTATGCTTAGCAGTAACTTTTACAAACACAACAAAACATCAAGCCATTTGTTAGTTTTACAGTTAGGTGCTGTACTTGAGCTTTCATGAAAAAAAAACCCCGTGAATTTTAGACCAGTATGTTTCTAGGAAGACAGAACAGGAAGCGAGTCTGGAAAGCACATTCACGCACACAGAAATTCAAACGTGAATCATAATTTTGCAAACTGTAGGCTCGAGAAAGTTTTCTTCCACTTTTCCACTTAAACAATCCCTCCCTCAACACAATGCAACAGTGGTAAAAGCAGTGATTGTTCCTTGTTCTGCTTAGAAAAACATGGTATCAAATAACATAACTTACCATGAGCGACGTTGTTTATGCAGTCAAGGTATCGTCTTCCATTCTCATCGTACATATACTGGCCTTTTGCCTTTACGATCTTCACTGGATCATTAGAAAAAAACAGCTTGCAAGAAGAGCTATGGCAAGCATCAGAAAGCAAAATAAATCTTAGTGAATTCTAAAAGTTGCATAGTTTATTCTGCTGGTAATATTTTCAGTTAAGTGAGTTAATCAAGTGAAAGACATTTCCCCAATTGCCGGCACATGGCATCATCCTACTTCTGGCCCCTAAAACAAAGCTTGGGATGGGGATGAGAACAGGCCTTGTGCTCTAAATCAAGTCAAGTTTTGTAAGATTTGCAGGGAAAAAACAAGCTTCAGAACTGAAAATCCTTCACTGGTAATCTAGCCACTGCACATGGATAGGACTTACCACTATAATTTTATCCAGTCTTAACTGCAGTTCCTTATTGTCTATGCTGCCTGCTCTTCCTGTTCCTGAAACCCTCTCTGGTGTCTCCTACCTCGTGATTGTTTTCATTATATTCTTGCTATTCTCGCTAAGGTCCTGATTTTCCGGATGGTATGGTGTGGGTGATTGTTACATCTGTAAAAAGCTTCACTAACCTTGAAACCTTGAGTGATTTTATAAGGCTGGGTCTACTTAAGCATGTTTGTTTGTTTTGTTTCATTTTTTAAATAAATTGCTAAACAAGTAAAATGGAAACACATGTCTGCCTAAGTAGAAGTTGCAGAGATTTGACTCTGAAGGGCAATGCCAAACTTTTATGCTTCATTTAGTAAAAGGCTGCTTATACAAAAATAAAACAATTTGATCATAAATACAAAGTCATTGTCAAATGAGCAACAAAAGACAACAATAAAATGAGAAACTGCTTCACTATCCCTACCCTATAGGAATCCTATACTTTCTGTGTGAGCTAGCAGTAGAGTGGTAAAACAGTCAAGTTTTTTTCTAAGCTTATCCTGACTGTTTAACAGATGCTAAGAAAGCATGTACAGAGGCTGGGTCTTTGTTCCCAGTGGCAGGGCAAATCAGTTAGTTACAAAAAGATTAATACATAGGGTGCTATTCTTCAGATTCATGTAACTAACTGGCACAGTTAACATTCCAGCATTTACTTTCAGCCCAACGTCTGGATTCATAAAATGTATAAAGATTAAAGTAGCCTTGTTTTTTTAATATATATATATATATATACACATATACATATATTTAAAAGGAACAATACGAAAGCATTCTGACAGTTAAATATAACAGTTTGGCTACCATTCCTGATAGCAGTCTACAGAACTAATATTTTTGGGGGGTCAGTTGAAGCAACACAAGCAATGGGAAATTTGGAGCCAAGTCTCGTGCTTAATTCTATCAAACTGGGCAGACATCTGTTGTTAATTTTATCACGTTTTGGGTGTAAGAAGAAGTTTTCTGAAAGACAGGCTATACTACTAGGTCTGCCAGACCCTCTGCCTAGCCCAGCATCGCCTGGCAGTGCCACTGCCGAGCCTCCGGCAGTTCTGCAGGTGGGTGAGCCCAATTGCACCTCGTGCTTTCGGCTGAGCTGATAGGAAATGCTTTCTAAGCAGTTTAAAGTTTAAGCAGGCACGCCAGATATCATACAGGTTTTATACTTCAGTTTCGTAACACCCCCCCCCTTAAGAAATGCTAGTTACTGCTAATTACACCAGTAAAATCGGGCTTTGCACTCTAACAGCGCCGACTTTCCCGGCGACGTTGCTGGTTTCGACCTACCATGCTGGCCAGGCAGGGACCCGCTTGATTTCAGCCCCGGCAGCAATCGCGACGGGTGTCCGAGGGCCGGGCTCGGAGCGGCCAGACCCCGCCGCTGCCGACGGGCAGCGGGACCCGCTCCCGGGCCGGGGCCCGACCGGCCACGTCAGGCGCCCCGCGGCG